TAAGTAGTTAAAAAAAAATTTCTAATAAATCTCTCATAATTTAACTAATGATTCATTTTATTCTAAAAATTCAACCAACAATGATCTGCCACTACAAGAAAAAGCAGAAATGGCGACTAAAAAAAAAATTTCGTCGCTGAAAGTAGCATTTTCGGTGACTAAAATGAATTAGTAGCCAAAAGTGAAGACTTTTGGCGACTAAAAATCAGTTTGGTCGCCGATTATATGGGTTTTAGCGACTAAAAAAATTTTAGTAGCCAAAAGTGAAGGTTTTTGGCGACTAAAAAAATTTAGTAGCAAAAAATATAGGTTTTGGCGACTAAAAAATAGTTTCGTCGCCGATTATGTGTTTTACCGACAAAAATAAATTTTGTAGCCAAAAGTGAAGCTTTTTGGCTACTAAAAAAAATTTAGCAGCTAAAAGTCTACAATTGGCGACTAAAATTCAGTTTAGTCGCCAAAAGTGGAGGTTTTTGGTGACTAAAAATAAGTTTAGTCGCCAAAAGTGGTTATTTTTAGGCGGGAATTAATTTTTTTAGCGACTAAAAAATAATTAATAGCCAAAAGTATAGAATTGGCGACTAATAAATAGATTTAGTCGCCAAAAGTGGTCTCCTTTTTTTTTAGTAAATAATTTATTTTTTACATAAATTATATTGAATAAAAATAATTATGTTTATATATATAGTTTTATATTAATACGAGTCAATATACTATATAAATAATAGGGGGATTTGGTGATAGCCCCCTCACTATCTAATTTGTTTTTCAAAAGGACAAAAATTATATAAGTACTTTCAAAACTTTCTAATATTTTAAAACTTATTTCTTTTACTATATTACCCTCATATCTATCAGCTTTCCTATTAAGTCATCTTCACTGTGTATTTCAGAGTAAAATTTTACTCTGAATAAAAGTAAAATTTTATACTCTGAAACGAAAAGTAAAATTTTACTCTGTATAAAAGTAAAATTTTACTCTGAAAAACTAGTAAAATGTTAGACTCTACACAAAAGTAAAATTTTACTCTGTATAAAAGTAAAATTTTACTCTGAATAAGAGTAAAATGTTACACTCTGAAACTAAAAGTAAAATTTTACTCTGAATAAGAGTAAAATGTTACACTCTGAAACTAAAAGTAAAATTTTACTCTGAATAAGAGTAAAATGTTACACTCTGAAACTAAAAGTAAAATTTTACTCTGAATAAGAGTAAAATGTTACACTCTGAAACTAAAAGTAAAATTTTACTCTGAATAAGAGTAAAATGTTACACTCTGAAACTAAAAGTAAAATTTTACTCTGTATAAAAGTAAAATTTTACTCTGAATAAGAGTAAAATGTTACACTCTGAAACTAAAAGTAAAATTTTACTCTGTATAAAAGTAAAATTTTACTCTGAAAAACGAAAAGTAAAATTTTACTCTGAAAAACAAGTAAACTGTGAGACTCTGAACCTAAAAGTAAAATTTTACTCTGAAAAACAAGTAAACTGTGAGACTCTGAAGCTAAAAGTAAAATTTTACTCTGAAAAACAAGTAAACTGTGAGACTCTGAAGCTAAAAGTAAAATTTTACTCTGAAAAACAAGTAAACTGTGAGACTCTGAAGCTAAAAGTAAAATTTTACTCTGAAAAACAAGTAAACTGTGAGACTCTGAAGCTAAAAGTAAAATTTTACTCTGAAAAACAAGTAAACTGTGAGACTCTGAAGCTAAAAGTAAAATTTTACTCTGAAAAACAAGTAAACTGTGAGACTCTGAAGCTAAAAGTAAAATTTTACTCTGAAAAACAAGTAAACTGTGAGACTCTGAAGCTAAAAGTAAAATTTTACTCTGAAAAACTAGTAAAATGTTAGACTCTACACAAAAGTAAAATTTTACTCTGAAAAACTAGTAAAATGTTAGACTCTACACAAAAGTAAAATTTTACTCTGAAAAACTAGTAAAATGTTAGACTCTACACAAAAGTAAAATTTTACTCTGAAAAACTAGTAAAATGTTAGACTCTACACAAAAGTAAAATTTTACTCTGAAAAACTAGTAAAATGTTAGACTCTACACAAAAGTAAAATTTTACTCTGAAAAACTAGTAAAATGTTAGACTCTACACAAAAGTAAAATTTTACTCTGAAAAACTAGTAAAATGTTAGACTCTACACAAAAGTAAAATTTTACTCTGAAAAACTAGTAAAATGTTAGACTCTACACAAAAGTAAAATTTTACTCTGAAAAACTAGTAAAATGTTAGACTCTACACAAAAGTAAAATTTTACTCTGAAAAACTAGTAAAATGTTAGACTCTACACAAAAGTAAAATTTTACTCTGAAAAACTAGTAAAATGTTAGACTCTACACAAAAGTAAAATTTTACTCTGAAAAACTAGTAAAATGTTAGACTCTACACAAAAGTAAAATTTTACTCTGAAAAACTAGTAAAATGTTAGACTCTACACAAAAGTAAAATTTTACTCTGAAAAACTAGTAAAATGTTAGACTCTACACAAAAGTAAAATTTTACTCTGAAAAACTAGTAAAATGTTAGACTCTACACAAAAGTAAAATTTTACTCTGAAAAACTAGTAAAATGTTAGACTCTACACAAAAGTAAAATTTTACTCTGAAAAACTAGTAAAATGTTAGACTCTACACAAAAGTAAAATTTTACTCTGAAAAACTAGTAAAATGTTAGACTCTACACAAAAGTAAAATTTTACTCTGAAAAACTAGTAAAATGTTAGACTCTACACAAAAGTAAAATTTTACTCTGAAAAACTAGTAAAATGTTAGACTCTACACAAAAGTAAAATTTTACTCTGAAAAACTAGTAAAATGTTAGACTCTACACAAAAGTAAAATTTTACTCTGAAAAACTAGTAAAATGTTAGACTCTACACAAAAGTAAAATTTTACTCTGAAAAACTAGTAAAATGTTAGACTCTACACAAAAGTAAAATTTTACTCTGAAAAACTAGTAAAATGTTAGACTCTACACAAAAGTAAAATTTTACTCTGAAAAACTAGTAAAATGTTAGACTCTACACAAAAGTAAAATTTTACTCTGAAAAACTAGTAAAATGTTAGACTCTACACAAAAGTAAAATTTTACTCTGAAAAACTAGTAAAATGTTAGACTCTACACAAAAGTAAAATTTTACTCTGAAAAACTAGTAAAATGTTAGACTCTACACAAAAGTAAAATTTTACTCTGAAAAACTAGTAAAATGTTAGACTCTACACAAAAGTAAAATTTTACTCTGAAAAACTAGTAAAATGTTAGACTCTACACAAAAGTAAAATTTTACTCTGAAAAACTAGTAAAATGTTAGACTCTACACAAAAGTAAAATTTTACTCTGAAAAACTAGTAAAATGTTAGACTCTACACAAAAGTAAAATTTTACTCTGAAAAACTAGTAAAATGTTAGACTCTACACAAAAGTAAAATTTTACTCTGAAAAACTAGTAAAATGTTAGACTCTACACAAAAGTAAAATTTTACTCTGAAAAACTAGTAAAATGTTAGACTCTACACAAAAGTAAAATTTTACTCTGAAAAACTAGTAAAATGTTAGACTCTACACAAAAGTAAAATTTTACTCTGAAAAACTAGTAAAATGTTAGACTCTACACAAAAGTAAAATTTTACTCTGAAAAACTAGTAAAATGTTAGACTCTACACAAAAGTAAAATTTTACTCTGAAAAACTAGTAAAATGTTAGACTCTACACAAAAGTAAAATTTTACTCTGAAAAACTAGTAAAATGTTAGACTCTACACAAAAGTAAAATTTTACTCTGAAAAACTAGTAAAATGTTAGACTCTACACAAAAGTAAAATTTTACTCTGAAAAACTAGTAAAATGTTAGACTCTACACAAAAGTAAAATTTTACTCTGAAAAACTAGTAAAATGTTAGACTCTACACAAAAGTAAAATTTTACTCTGAAAAACTAGTAACTTTTGTCGTTGCTATGGGTGCCTTGGCCAGAGAGATAGCAGGAGCTTTGGGTATTCTTAGAGCTGGGAATCAGGCAGCTGAGGCAGGGCCTTCCTTCTTGAAGAGGGAGTTCTTCCGGTCTAATCCGGATGAGTTTATCGGGGATCCGAAGGAGCCACTGAAGGCTGATGAGTGGCTAGAGCAAATGAGTAAGACGTTCGAGATGCTTGGCATCGAGGACGGAGCACTGAAAGTGACCTTGGCATCCTTCCAGCTGAAGGGAGATGCGGGTCAATGGTGGAAGTACGAGAAGGCTCGTGTTGGGGGTACGTGGGAGGCATTTGTAAATGCTTTCCAGGAGAGGTTCTTGTCTGCAGTGGCTAGGGAGGCGTTTGTAAATGCTTTCCAGGAAAGCTAATATGCGCGGTAACAGCATATATATATAAGAATTGACTCTTATAACAAAATAAATTCTGAATCTTTAATTTTATCAATTTAAATTTTAAATTTTTTATTTGTTTTCAATCTAAACTATTTGTGTATTTTCATTAAATAAAATCGATGAAAAAAATTAATATTTTAGTTTTTAAACTCAATAAATAAATAAATAAATTAGATATTTTATATATATTTACATTGAATTTAATAACTAAAATACTATTTCCTATCGATTTTACTTAAAAAAAAATAAGCGAATGATTTAGAATGAAAAAAAATCAAAATATTAGAGTTTAAATTAACAATTCACAAAAAAATAATTTTAAAGACAATTCACAAAAATCGTCACAAAATTTCACTCATTGACAACTTTCAACGATAATTTAAAAAATTTATCTCCAAAAACATTACTAATTATAAATTTTAACAACTTATAAAAATCGTAACCAAAAAAATTATTAATTGTCAATTTTTTAACGGTGTTAAAAATCGTCACAAAAAATATTTTTAACAGTGATTTTATTAAAACTTATTTTTAATAATAAGACTTAATGAAAATTAAATCTAATTATTAAAATTTATGAGTAATTTGCTTTTCTTTTTAATTGCCCGAAGAACAAAAGATAATAATCAATCTATAAATCAAATAAAAAACCACCTCGGCCATAACAAAAATTAAAACTATAACTACAGTCGGCACTTTTTCAACAAATGAAAAAGTTCAATAAAATTCAGCAGCAGCATCTACTCTGAGAAGTTAAAAGAAAAGATGGTCGGAGAAAAAAAAATTTCCCTTTTTTCTTTTTGTTACTTCAGCTAATTAGACAACAAGGAATTAGCGACAAACAAAATTTTGTGTACCAGCTAATCATCGTTGGCTTAGCTTACGCTTCTTTGCCTCTTTTCTCAAACGCTCCCTCCTCTCTTCTTCCTCTATTTTGCGGAGTTCTTCTTCATCCTCTTTTCTAGCAATTCTTGCGCTGATATCACAAAAAATCACAAATATATGAGCCATCAAGACAACCGGTCAAATGATCAATGCGCCATGCACGCACACAAAAAGGGTAATTGTGTTCTGGGTTGTAAGCATTAAACAAGCACATAAAGCTACTCAAGCAAATGGTGTAAGCCCAGAGAGCACAATATCTAAAATAATAAATTTTAGACCAAAATGGTCAAGAATTTCATGCTAAATTCAATAAAGCCATACTAACCTCCTTTGCTCCTCCCTCATAATATCTTCGTAGTTTGCCTCCATGTCACTATCATCATCCTCGTCGGCAAATTTTCTTGGATTATACCTGCCATGAAGATCACCACTTTGATTAAATTAGGTCAAGGAAACATAATATTTCATAGTTAATTTATCTCTCCTCGAAATTATACCTACCCAAGTCACACAAGTATAAAATCAACTCCTCCAAATCAGAGAAGTAGAACCTTTCTTTTTTTGAACAGCAAAGAAGTAAAACTAAGCCAACCCCAGATTAGGTGCAAAAAGCAGCCATATCCAGTTTAAAGAAAATTCAAAAAACAAAAAAGAAAGAAAGAAAGAATACACCAACATTAAAATTATTGATGATTTAGCCAACTCCACTTGATTGCGATACAAAGCTTAGTTAGTTTGGTTTATTAAAATTACTGATGACTGTTTAAGATGAGAATGTACCCTAGTATCACCCAAGTCATTAGTAATCAAACTGGATTTGAGTAAACCAGAACCAAGCCATTTCGTAAAGCATCCAACCGAATCTCAATTATCACTACAAGAATTTACGCATTTGCCGACCACTTTTGCCGACCAAAAAAATTTTAGTCGCAAAAAAATGTCATTTGGCGACCAAATATTAATGAGTCGCGAATGATCATTATTTTTGGCGACCAAATATTATTGGTCGTAGAAGGTTATATTTTGGTGACCAAAAAATGACTTGGTCGCAGAAAATGGTATGCTTTTGCCGACCAACTACATATTTGGTCGCGGAAGGTCACATATTTTTTGGCGACCAAAAATTTGGTCGCCAAAAACTTATTTTCAGCCACCAAAAAAAATTAGTCGCCAAATTTGTACTTTTAGCGACTAATATTTTAGTCGCCGTTGATTGAGATTTGGCGACTAAAATTTTTGGTTGGCGAAGGTACTTTTTCTGCGACTAATATGGTATTTTGGTCGCCAAAAGTTTGGGAGGGAAATTTGATTTTTATAGAGGCGCGAATTGAATTTTTTTTGCGACAAAAAAAATTTGGTCGCCATTTTTAAAACGACGTCGTTTTGTACCAGGAAAATAGAAAAAAAAGAAAAAAGAAAAAAAAAGAGCCCTAATCTCCATTGTCTCTATCTCGCTCTGTGTCTCGGTCCGTCCTCTCCCTCTCTGTGTTGGTGCCCTCAATCGGTGTCCACTCTCTCTAGCTCACCGTAATCTCGCATCGTATGGTAAGGGTTTTGTGGGGAAATTCGATTGTGATGATGGGTTTTCTGAGAAATTTGATTTTTTATGTGGGTTATTTATGGAGATGGAAATGATTGGATTACGCTGCTATGGCTGATCAAAGTAACTTTCTAGATGCTGGAACCGCTGGTGAATTGGAGGTTCAGGATAAGACTACACTTCTTGAATGGTTTGCTAATGAGTACAAAAAGTTTGGATGCACCTTGGAGTTTGTCACCAATAAATCGCAGGAGGGATCTCAGTTCTGCAGAGGTTTTGGAGGAATCGGAGGAATCCTCCGTTATCAGCTTGATATTCGATCATTCGATGAACTTTCTGATGATGGAGAAGTTTATGAAGACTCTGATTAGCAATCAATAAACTATTACTCCGATCCGGTGCAGGAGCATGGGGCAAAAGCCTTCACCGTGTGCGTGAGCTCTCGCCCTTCTTTCTGCTCCTCTGCTGTTGCTCGACGAGTTTCAAGTGCGTCTGATTAAGGTTTGTTTCATAATTTTTGAACTCAAAAGTTTGTAATGATATATTTAGGGCATAATTACCTTTGATGGGTTTTGTATGATGACCACCTTTAATTGGTTGTTTCTAATGTTCTTGATCTCTCTATCTTCATTTTTGTAACTGTTAGAAGTTTATATATTTTATGCAGAACTTTTCTATCAAACATGTTATTGTGGATAGTTCATGACATGATTTATGGGCTTGCTATTTAGACTCGCCATGGATATAAATTTATAATGATGGAGTTGGAGCAATATCTTAATACCTGGTTAAGGTAACGTACTATTTAAGCAATTTTATGTTTGGTTCAGAAATTTTCTAAATTGAGTCATTTGGTTAGAGGATTGTCGTCTAAGTGATGTCACAAATATAATTGCACCAAGCAGAACCATAGTTGCATGGATTGTGATTCACAGGCATATATATGTTCTCTGGGCAGTTGATGTTTATTACATGCATGTCTCTGTTAAGTCTTTTCCACCCCAGAAATGGAAGTTTTTGAGTTATTTCTCTTCCTTCTTTTTTAGTTTAGTGACAGTTCATCAAAACAATTGTCAAAAATTGCTAGATCGAGCACATGACGTGCATAATTTTAAGTCCAAGACTGGGTTGTATCTTCTGCAACATTTATACTACTAAACCTCCTCCTTTTAGTGATTTCGTGATTGGAAAGAGTTTTCATATTATGGGAAGTTTCCCTTCCAACATGTGACTACATCTGACTTACATACAGGTAAACATCGACTTAAGGACTTTCATATGACAACATCTGACGTGAAGAACAGGTAAACACCGACTTAAAAGACTTCGACTGTCTTCTGTCTTCTCTTTCCTGTATGTTGCACAGATATTAGTTCTTTTTCCAGTAGCTAGGAAATGCCTCCAAGGCTGGTTTAGGAGTGAATGAGCTAAGCTATCTTATTCAGATTCTGATAGTTTTTGTGACATTTTGGCGGATGTTCATGATTATGCACATCCACTGATCATTCTCATCATCCATGGTTTTACTATTTCTTTGCATTCTTTTAATGTTCATGATTTACTCCTTTTGTGAGCGTAATTTTGTTGCTTTTGTGGTCAATTCTCCTACAGTGTCCAAGTCTGGAATAGTGGAAAGTCTCTTGTCATGGGTAGATTTTAAGCAGAGCAAGGATCTTAAGAAAACTGATGGGACAAAGAGACAAAGGAAAATTGGGATTACCAAAGCATAGTACAAGTAAAGCATAGTAGAACATCATCCCCATCTTCTTATGAGAAGGATTTTTGTGAATTGGTAGATATATATACCAGAAAGAAAAGGCCTGATAAAAAGAAGCATAATGTGATGTTTATATACATGTTTATATGCATGTGTGCATCCATCTATACATGTTTATTCAATAAGTGAGCATATTTGTACTTGTGTTGCCTTTGCTCTGTGATATATGTTGAAAAGTGAAGAAGAAAAAAAAAAAGAGAAAAAGTTTTCGTAGAGCTTTCTATTTGGATACCTAAACAGCATAAGATGTTGGGTTTTAGTTCTTTTTACAAAGTTTTGTTGCACTGTTAAAAGGTTTATTGCACTGTCAGTATCTTCTGTTGTTGTTTGGTTCTCTGTTGTTCTTTGACTAAAACCTTAGTGGTCAGTTTGGCCCTTATATGCTCGTTCTCTCGTATGAGGAGTCATCTCAATTTAGGAATCTCCAAACCAGAAGAGGTTTCAGATGATACAGTGAAAGCTGTGGCTGCTACTTTAAAGAATTCTACTTTTCTTAAGGTTTCTGAAGATGGTGAGTTTTGAAAATTTTTATATTTCTGCCCTGTTTGGATGCTGAGAAGATATGGAAAAGAAAATTAAGAATTGTAGCTTGTGTCTGGTTTTATTTCTTTTGATATTGAGCAGAATTACATATTGGTTGTGCGTTTTAGGTAAGAAGATTGGTAGGGCTACTGAGCTTTGCCGCTAGATGAGGTCATAGAACAATCAAACAGTAGGACAATTGCCGCATCACCCCTAGAGTATGATGTCAAGCTTGAACATGTGGAATCCTTCTTTGGTCAGTTTGCCAAGGTATTGGTTTCACCCCTTTCCCCTTCATTTTCTTTTCTTTTTCTCAATAATTTAAGTACTTTTGAGCATGCCTATCCTTTTGTAGAATCTCCTAATACTTTTGGTTTTGAAACCTGTCTTGCTTTCAGTTTGTTTCCATTGGTGTATAATGATTGTGACTAAGTACAAGGAATCATCAAAATATATATTCATGTACATATGTGCCAGTGAGGATAACAGACAGTGAAATAGGGAGTGTGCATGTATAAAGTCAGATGGTGTTGATTGTGTGAGAGCAAGTTTGGATTACACCAAATTATAGTTTGTCCCTGTGACGTTCTTACTAGCTCTTTCCCATCCACAGATGATGCCCTGATTTGAGTTTACTCTGCTCGTAACAGGTTAATAATGTGAGGATGCCTCGCCATATTGTAGACAAAAGGTTATTTTGTGGCACTGCTTTGGTTGAGTTCTCAACTGACGAAGATGCGGCTAGCACATTTCTTGCTTGCACCATGCTTCTCTACTTCACCTTGCTTAAGCCCCTTTGAGGCACCATAGGCTTGCCTCACCTCTCGCATAGGTGATCGCTGTTGATTTTATGGATTTTAATTAATTATTTGTTTATTTTTAAATTTTTGTCTCACTTGGAATTCTGTGTTTTGTTTAGTGTCTGCTCTTTATGCCTTCAATGAAACTATAAATGAGGACCCACTTATGGCTTTGTCAAATTGGAATAAGGTAGATGCAGATCCTTGTGACTGGTCTGGCATATCCTGTTTAGGTGTTTAGGTGGCATATTTCATATCTCTTTGTGAGGATAACCTGCGTCATTCAATGATATGTTTTTTAGCACTTCAAGGATCACATGACGAGGATCACATGAAAATCGGACATGTCAGCCGATATCAAGTGAGGAAGCTATTGAAACTGCCAAGCTTCTTGCATTGAAAGAAGGTTTGCTGGTAAGAACATAATTTTTCATATTATTCAACTGCGGGTCTTATAGGCATTTTTATATCACTGTCCTCCCTAAAAATTACTGAACTCTTAAGTTCATGTCTTAGGTTTTTTTATATTTTTAGTTCACAAGTTTGATGGTGCTTATGGTAACATGTATTGTAGGTAGGAATATCATCTGGTGCTGCTGCGGCTGCTGTAATTAAGATAGCTAATGGAAAACTCATTGTTGTAAGTTTGATTTTCTGCATACAAGTTCAGCTTTGCTGTTTTGTTCTGTCATTTGTGTATATTTTGTTCTCAATTGGGCAAATTTTAATGTACTAGAAGATATTGCATAGTAATTTGGCTGAACACAACATTGGACAAATCTCAGAATTTTAACCACCTACAAATATTCTATTGTTTGTTTTTGACAGGTGGTGTTCCCCAGCTTTGGAGAGCGTTATCTGTCATCTGTGCTGTTTGACTCCTTGAAGCGTGAGGCAGAGAATATGACTTTTGAGCCCTAAGATTTTTCCTAGCTTCAGAAAGGTGATAATATGTCAAGGTTGTAAGGTTGCAATGCAGTTTTGATCTTGGCGCTTTTGCTTTGGTTCTTCATGCTTTTTAAATAAATCTTGTGAATATTACTAGTTTAGTTAATGTTTGTGTCTGCAAGAGGGTATGTTGGCTGGGTTTTGGTCTCACCTCTATAATTTGAAATAAAACAAAAGTTTGATGCTTAGAATATGCTCAGAATAACTTCTTTTCCCTAATATATTTAGTTAGTAAGAAAGATAGTTGAATTGCTAGTATATTATTATTTGCTTGGGCATAAAGTATATTGAAATGGTCAATGCTAATTTGATAAAAGGAAATTTAACTTGACAACTGGTAGTGCAATCAAAGATAGAGAGGCATTCCCTTCATTTTCTGAATTTAGCACTACTTGCTCCCTAATTGTGCCTTCGCATTAAGAGAACTGATATTTTGCACAAAATTGCCAAAAGCTCCTGAGACGAGCTATGTTTATGTTTGGATTGGATCGTGAATTTATTATTAAGGGAAAGGAAAATGGAAATATACATAGGATAAATTACACATTCTCCCCCATAGAGTATGATTCTTTTCTCACTTTGGCCCTTGATAAAAGATTCTTTTACTTTGATCTCTAAATTGTCAAATTTTCTCCATTTTTAGTCCAAATTCTAATAATGGTGCCATAAGAACTTTCACTTTCCTTTACTCTCCTATTCTCTTCCCTCCTCTATGCACCTTATCACCCCAATCCACAACTGACCACCTGCCCCTCCTGACCTACTACCTGATCTCTTCCACTAGCCTCAATACTTCAACTTGCAGCCCCTTTACTTGAATGATTTTTTTTGATAACTCAGGATAACTCAGGTATCCTCAAGTGACAAGGATCACATGACGATATACATAGGTAAGCTCTTTTATATCTTCCACATTGCATCTTAAGAAGCATGGATTCGGACATGTCAGCATGAAAATCTTCACAAATGTTTCCCATGACATGACACATGGGAAACACACAAAATATATTATTTGTATTATTATATATATATTTATAATTTATATATTTATTATATGTTATATATAAAGATAAATAATTACTATATGTCAATATATGAATTTTTAAATCAGATAATAATTTTTAAGTTTAAATGAGGGTAGATATGATTTATTTTATTTTTGTTTTATCATTGGATTCTAAGTTATTTGATTCAAAATTGTAATGTGCTTCATGTGTCTAAATGTTGGGAAGTGTCTGACAAGTAGAATGGAGTGTCAATGTCCTACACTGTCGGACAAGGCATGTTACCTTCTTAGCATGTGAAGATTTCAGCAACATTATTGGGTCCTCTCCAGACAGTCTAGTCTACAAAGGGACCATGAACGGTGGGCTTGAGATTGCTGTAATATCGCTTTGCATTAAAGAAGAGCATTGGACAGGCTATCTTGAGCTTTATTACCAGAGAGAGGTAAAGTAATTAGATTCATGGTGAACGTAATTAGATATGTGACAAACGACTTTTAAAATCTCACTTATTTTTACAATTCAGGTAGCTGATTTGGCAAGATTAAATCATGAGAATACAGGTCACATATTACTGGGTTATTGCACAGAGAGTAAACCATTTACAAGTGAAAAATCTAGAAATCCCCTAGATGTTGATTTGTGATTATGTATCAATTTTAAGCAGAATATAACAATCCCAATCAAACAATCAAGACAAAGAGACACAACGATTTTAACGTGGAAAAAACCACAATTGGACACCTCCAACTGTGATAAAAAAACCACGGGCAACAGCCACAAAACAATCCACTAAGAAGATTTAAAGGAATTACACAGGTATACTCTCAATTACCTAACGAATCCACGCCTAATTGAACCAACCTCTATGTGCCTCTTCCAACCCCGTCTTCACCTCGGAATTGTCTTTACGATGAGTCACCCCGGAATCCACCAAAGCTTTAGGCTCGAATTCTTCAGAATCTACCGAAGAACAACTCTCTCTTTTGTAGAACCAAACACAACCTTTGATGTACTCTCTTTAAACCATGAGTTGAATACTCAATAAAAACATCAAAGAAAACTCACAAAGTATCCCCAGATATAAACCCTAGAACCAAAAAAGAAGATCTGGAGTAGTAATTCTAAAATCTGACCCAACACGCGAATTTATAGAATCTGTCCCGTGATCTCCGCTCGAGCGCCCAACAGCCCGCTCGAGCGTCTTCAGCAAAATATTCGCGTGATATAACAGAGGTCCGCTCGAGCGCCAGAAAGCCCGCTCGAGCGCGAAATCACACATCTCAGTACTTTTGCAGGCGACCAAAACTGCTGGAACCAGGGATTCTCCGCTCGAGCGGGGGAATGTCCGCTCGAGCGGACAGGCAACTTGGAATGCATTTTTGCATTTTGCTTCGGGGGTGCTGCCCCTCGACCCCGCCGTGGCGCTGCCCCCTGGACCCCTGCGAGCTGACCGGGCAGCTCGATCCCCGTCATAATCAGCGAAGTGGCAATCTTGAAAGCATTAGCATCACAAACTTCTCTGAAAGGCACAATTCGGGCTGGATTCGCATCTAAACACTCATAGCCTCACTGAAATAAATGTGTGAAAATAAATACAACTGAAAGGAGTTTTGTCAAACGGGGTTGCCAAGAATAAAACCTAACAACAAGGATGTTGGTTTTTGAATATGCATCAAATGGGACGTTGTATGAGCACCTCCATTGTAAGAGTAAAGCTTGTTATTTCTAATAATTGTAAGAGAGCAATGATGAATCTATTGCTTTTAGGATTTGCAATGATATACTTCTTTCTTTACAAGCATATACTTTTAAGAAGAGGGATAAACATTTAATAATTAATTGCATTTGAAAGTGGAGTGAAAATTAGTCAAATAGATTTCTTTTCTTACTAGGATACTTGATAAAAGAACATTTAATTTAAGAATTGTAAAAGTAATCGAAGGAGAGTCTCATTACACAACATAAGTTAATGGTATTAGATGTATGTATGTATGTATTAGGAGATGGAAGTGAAACTGTAACATAAGTAGTCACCTGTGAATTTGATCGTAGAATTTTAAAAGTAAAACTTTGGCTCTCTTTAGGAATAGAATGTTAAGTCAGGAAAATGGACTTCAATCTAGGAAACTAATTCTTTGTGGTGTGAGATGGCTACACTCATATTAATAACATTAGAGGATTGATACAATCTCAATATACTTTTAGATGTAGAAATGGTTCAATTGCTAGGTGTCCTGTTGGAAAACACAGTAAAAATCTTCATATACATCTTTATAGTGGTATACATTTTGGTTATACAAATAATTATTGGAAAATGCTAACGACTGCCCATAGGGTTGTCATTAATGTTGGTAGATGCGTAAAAAGTGTATTGAAATTGGTAAAAGTGTATAGAAATATGTAAAAGTGTTTAGAAATGTGTAAAAATTATATTGAAAATCAAACTTTTGTCTTTTTGCTTCACTAACAGTCTATCAACACAGATTATTCTCTTAGAAATTGAATTATTAATCGTCCACCAAAATACCAAATTTAAAACTTATTAATTATTGAAGTTTATGAACTTATTAGCTAATTATTAAAGGGTTGACCGTGCTTATTAGGTATATAATTTGTCTTCATGCTGGACTCAATTTCTTTTGGTTGATTGTTCCTTTTAGTAGTCTACCACTCAAATGCACTTATATTCTGTAGACCAAAGGCTAAATCTCCACCTCAAGATGCTTTACTAAAACTAGAAACAGAGCTAACTTTCACTGAACTATCTCAAGAGAGCTCCATGTTTGTTTTTAAGCTGGGTTTAGTTAAGCTCCAATGCTGCCTCTTGATGAATGGGCTTGTTGTTGATGCTAATGATACTTGCTCGAATTTCTTGTTTAGTTTTTTCTTTTGGTTTTATCTATATGCAATGGACAATGGTGAAATTTTATATGTTACAAAAATCTGTTTAGAATGTTTAGAATCTGTTACCAAAAATGTGTTACTAAAATGTGGGACCTCTAGTGATGTTTAGAATGTCTCATGTCATTTCTTTATGTCAGTAGCTTTAGGGGAATTGAGTTCTATCCTTTTTTGTATTTTTCTTTCATGATCTTGTCAATTGACCTTGCTTCGGGTCTTTGTCATTTTTGTAAAGCTATGGTTATAATTTTTGCATCATATGAAGGTAATCTTTTATTTTTTCGGAGGCCAAGCAAGTGCCACAATCTCTACATTACAAGAATCGGCAATTATGTTTTGAAGTTTGATTCATTCTTAGTTTTATAAACAGGATGTGGTATTAATTGTTAGTTATATTTATTTACTAATTTAATGGAAGTCATCAGCCTTTATTTGTTTATCTTGATCTTGGTTTAAAGATGTTTAGCACAAGAATGACATATTTAGTTTAGAAGGCAAAGTTGATTATTCTTCTTTGTAACTTTACATATGATTGGCTACTTTTCTTCTCTTTTACTTTTGATCCCTGGTTTTGTGACTCTCTTCCAGGTAAATCAACCCTTTAGCCTTACTAGGCTTCTGTCACTCCTAGTTTTCAAAATTTGTAAAGTCTTACGTCTCATGAACGATGAAAGGGATGTGATGAATCATTGTGTCATTCACATCATGGATGATGTTTTAAAATTATAGGTTTATTATGGATTGAATGAATTATTAGGAATTACAGGTGTATTGTTTT